TTAAATTATTTTTAAGAAAAACTGTCCCAGACGACTTGCGAGGGCTAAAAACGTCAAAAAAAAACTCTTTTTTTGTTTGTTCACAAGGGGTTGGTTGTAATTTCAACAGCCTTTTAAGTTACTTTTGCATTTGATTCAAGTTTGGGTTTACTTTTGCATTTCAAATCAAGTTTTGAGTCATATTTGGCAATTTTCCCTATATAATAAAGGTATTGTTACAAGTAGGGCTGGACTTTTATCCGAGATCTAGATTCGATCCGAGATTCGGATTCGATCCGAGATCCACTCCGGATCAGCTCCGAAACTAGGATATTTGGGGGTGTCCGGATCCAAAACCGGATAGTAAAATCTCGGATACGAGCAAACCGAATCCAGATCCGGATATCTTAATTTTTAGGTCCGAATATCTGGATTCAGATCCGTATTTTTAAAATATATTAATTTTTTTATTTTATTATTAATTATATCTGTATATTAATATTTATAAATAAATAAGTTTAATAATATTCTACTTTTATATTGATAATATTAGTCATATATATATATATATTCATAAATTAGCATTAAATATTTAGTTTATGTATTATTTTTAAAATTTTTAATTTTTTAAAAAAAATTTAATTATTTTTACGGACCCATGGATATCATAATATCTAGACGAATATCCGAAGTCCGGATATTTGAAAGACAAGAATCCGAATACTAAAATCACTTTTCCGACGAATTCGGGTCTGATATGGATACTTTAAATTTTCCGGATATCCAGATCCGTCCCATCCTTAGTTATACTCCCTCCGTTTCATATTAAGTGTCGCTGTAGAGAATTTTTTGCGTTACAAAATAAGTATCGTTTTCGGTCTTCATTGCAAAATTTATTAATTTTATTATGTATTTAGTTTTTCTATTGGTTAAAATATGGTTAAGTGTATAGGTAATTGTGTTTTTATATATGAAATATGTAAATTTAATTATTTTCTTAATCCGTGTGCACAGCTATAGAGTGACAATTATAGTGAACAAAGAGAAGTGATATATTACAATTGTCACTACATCGTACATTGAATAAAGTATTCGATATAAACTAGATTTCTCTTAAAAAAATATTTTCGTCTAAATAAAGAAATACCAGAATTTGGTGGCTTCCCATTGGTTCCTTATTTGAACTGGGTCCATTATTCCTTGCCGTGGACGGGAATACTACCTAACATAATCTGCTCAAGGATAAGCTTTACTATTTAGCTTAGACAAAACCGACCAAAGGTCTACTTTAATCAATCTTCTATATAGTATAAGCTAATGGATTTGAAAGCTTATAGAAATATTATAACTTAGCCAGTCAATTTCTGTTCAGTCTCTCTATTTACACTATTTCATACAAAGCAAGGCTTGATTTTAGTTGTACATACAATTTCTATAATCCAATATTCCAATAATTCTAATAAATTGCTATATATTTCGATGACTTCTATCATTTTTGTTTGGTTACAAAACGAGTTCCTGGCTGACATTTTTGCTCATAAGAAAATTATCAGAAACTTTAAATGTTTTATACAAAACAGTCAGCAAAAAGAAGTTATTAGAAATTTAACTGTTTTATTTTATGGCATTGATTGGTAACCATGCGGAATGGCGGAATGACTTATGAAACGCGATTCCGCAAGAATTTTGCCAATCAACGAAATGTTGCGGAATGAAAAAAAAACGCAAAAAACGCAAACTTGCGTTTTTGCTGACAAAAATATAAAGAGAAATTTTATTAAGTGGAAAAGTGAGTTTTAGTAGATTATGGTGGAAAGGTTTACAAACTAATATTTTCATATTATTAAATTATATGCTAATACTATCTTAAAATATAAAATACTATAGTTATTAAAATTACTATTTATTAATACAACATTTATTTCATCTATTATAATTTGTATACTAAAAAATGTCTATTGTTAAAATGTATTGAAAGATATGTTAGATATTTATAATAAAAACTAAAATGTTTTTAATAAATTTTAGTTGTTTTCACATTTATAATAATTAGTTTAATTATTACTAGTTGTTTTTTATAAAAAGTTAAAAACCATATAAAATATTTTAATCAATTAATATATATTCCGCTATTCCGTAAATTTTAAATTTTTCCACGACTTAATTAATTTTTTCCGCAATTTAACTATTATTTCCGCGATTACGCGATGGTTACAGCCTATATCTCTTAAGAGTCAGCAAAGAAAAAAAGATTAATTGGATAGCTTTCATCAGACTTCGTCCAACTTCTGTTGTTCCACCTTGCACCATTCCTTAATATCTAATTTATCTCCCAAACCCAATTTCGAAAACCCCTCTTCACCAACTTAAAACTCTATTAACTAATTCCTAACAATTCAGATGATTTTAATCAAACAGGAAGAGACCTCAAGATTCATCCAAGAAAATCAAGAACCATGGTAACACATAAACAGAGAAGAACAGAGAAAGGACTCTGCTTTAAAGACTACTTCAAATGGATCTTCTGTTTGTCATTCACTCTTTATTTTCTTGTTTCCTTCTTTGTCGATCATGATCAAGAAGACCTTCCTTCGCCTTCTTCGTCTCCATCAAACCCTCTTCTGACTAACCCTAAGCCCAAGCTCATTGCTTCTCGTGCCATGTTTGAGTCTAAAATCCATGATCACACACTTAGCTTTCCCCCACATCGTCCAAACATCAGAACTGGTATATGGTATACTTGAGTTTAGTTAATGTTTTAAAGGTTTCATGTTTTCATTTTGGTAAATAAAAGTTTCAAAAGGGACGAAGGTTTCATTTTGACAATATTTTCTTGTTTTTATTTTTCTTCAGATGTATTCAACAATTTGAAAATATACGTCTATGACTTGCCTTCCAAGTTCAACACAGACTGGTTAGCCAACAACAGATGCAGCAACCATCTCTTCGCAGCCGAGGTGGCTCTTCACAAGGCGTTGCTGAGCCTCGAGGGAAACGTACGGACAGAAGATCCGTATGAAGCAGATTTCTTCTTCGTCCCTGTTTACGTCTTGTTGAATAGGGAAGATAATCTTATTGATAGACTAAACATATGCATATATACAAGAACGTATTCAAGACAAAAGGAAATAATATATTGTGCAATTACAGAGGAATTAATATTGTATCAATCAAGGGGATTGAGAGAATATTCTAACATGCCCCCTCAAGATGGAGCACCATTGGTGAGTCCAATCTTGATAGTCATGTNTTGTTGAATAGGGAAGATAATCTTATTGATAGACTAAACATATGCATATATACAAGAACGTATTCAAGACAAAAGGAAATAATATATTGTGCAATTACAGAGGAATTAATATTGTATCAATCAAGGGGATTGAGAGAATATTCTAACATGCCCCCTCAAGATGGAGCACCATTGGTGAGTCCAATCTTGATAGTCATGTTGTTGAAGCGAGCACGGGAGAGTGGCTTGGTCATGATGTCAGCTAGCTGATCATTCGAAGAGACATGTGCAACGCGAACGCAGCCGGACTGTACTTGTTGACGAACAAAGTGGTAGTCTATAGCTAAGTGCTTCATCCTAGAGTGGAAGACTGGATTGGCACTTAAGTAAGTAGCACCTTTGTTATCAGAGTAGATAGTTGGAGGGAATGGCAGCTTGATCCCAAGTTCATGAAGTAAAGATAATGTCCAGCATACCTCAGCAGTTGTTGAAGCAATGGATCGGTATTCGGCTTCGGTGGAGGATCTAGACACGGCTGTTTGTTTCTTGGATGACCACGCTATGGGGTGCTTTCCGAAGTAGACAATGTAAGCTCCAGTTGAAGTGTAGTCATCTCTATTCCCTGCCCAGTCGGCATCTGTGAAAGCGTGGAGAGATGGTGTGTTGTGTGATGAGTAGAAGAGACCTTTGTGAGGAGTGCCAGCCAAGTAACGTAGTATACGCTTTGCTGCTGTCCAATGTTCAGTACGAGGGAGATGCATGAACTGTGAGAGTTTATTCACTGAGTAGGCGATGTCAGGCCTTGTAAGTGATAGGTATTGGAGACTTCCAACAAGAGCTCGGTACTCTGTTCCTGAAGGTAGAGGATCACCACTCTCAAGTGTTAGAGTTGTTGAGGAGCACATTGGCGTGGGCATTGGCTTAGCATCCGTCATCTTTGTCTTGTGGAGTAGGTCTGCAATATAGCGAGTTTGTGTTAGATAGAGGCCTTTGGAGTTACGTTGAACTTCCATGCCTAAGAAGTAAGATAAATCACCAAAGTCTTTAAGAGAGAAGCGAATTGAGAGAGATTGAATGAATTTATTTAAGAGATCAGTGTTACTCCCTGTGATGATCAAGTCATCAACGTAGACTAGCATATAAAGGATGATGTTGTTGTGATTGTAGATGAATAGCGATGCATCTGCTAAGGAATTTTGGAACCCGGATTGGAGAAGAAATTGTTTGAGCTCATTGTACCATGCCCTAGGGGCTTGCTTGAGGCCATATATAGCTTTGTGGAGTTTACACACTGCAGTTGGATTAGACGGATCTTGAAACCCCGGTGGTTGTGTCATGAACACATCATCTTCAAGCTTGCCTTGTAAGAAAGCATTGTTAACATCTAATTGTCGGAGAGGCCACTGGCGTGAGACAGCAATACTGAGAACTTGTCTAATTGTGGCAGGCTTTACGACAGGACTAAATGTGTCATGGAAATCGATGCCCGGCCTCTGATGGAACCCCTTTGCTACAAGACGCGCTTTGAATCTGTCCACAGCACCATTTGGGAGCCTTTTAATTGTAAAGACCCACCTGCAACCAACAATATTAGAAGCCATTTCAGGTGTGACTAGAGTATAAGTCTTATTTCGAAATAAAGAATCTATCTCAGCCTGCATTGCAGCTCTCCACCGAGGATCTTTGAGAGCCTGTGCAACTGATGTAGGTATTGTCTCTGTTGTTTGTTGAACGCTGGCATGAAGGTTGAGTTTTTGAACAGGTTTCCGATGTCTGGTACTCATTCTGACAGGATGCGGTTGTTGTACTGCAGGTTGTTGTACTTCTGAAGTTGCAGTAGCAGGGACAGTCGTCTCAGGCACAATATTGGGCATTTGGGGAACTGTAGCAAGAGGTGTTGTTGTTCCTGGTGCTTGATATGTTTGTGTTGGCGTAACTGTGGATGGTGGTGCAGTCATTTCCTCAAGTTGTGTGGATCTGTGAGATGTTAGAGTTCCTGCATCACTAAAAGGAAAGACACTTTCATGAAATAACACATGACGAGAAGTGTATATTTTAGATGTAGTATAATCCAGACATAAGTAGGCACTTTGTGTAATAGAATAGCCTAAGAACACACATGGAGTTGAGCGAGTATCAAGCTTATTAGAGGCATAGGGTCTGAGCCAAGGGAAGCATAAGCAACCAAAGACCTTTAGTTTTTCAAAGTTTGGATTTTGAGAAAACAGTTTTTGAAAAGGAGAAATGAGCTCTAGAATTGGCGTAGGCATTCGGTTTATTAAGTAAACTGCAGCTGCAAATGCATAGGTCCAATATGACCGAGGCATTGAAGCATGAGAGAGGAGAGCTAGGCCAGTTTCGACTATGTGGCGGTGGCGTCTCTCAGCAATCCCGTTGTGCTCAGGGGTATGCGGTGGAGTAGTAAAATGAGAGATCCCATGAGTGGCTAAAAAATTCGCAAGCCCTAAGTACTCACCACCATTATCAGAGTAGAGAGTTTTAAGTTTAAACTGAAATCGATTTTCAACTAGTGATCGAAATTTTGTAAAAACTTCAAAGACCTGAGATTTTTGTTTCAATGGGTAAATCCATGTGTACCTTGTGAAATGATCCACGAAGATAACATAGTATTTAAAACCATCTACAGAAATCGTTGGAGATGTCCACACGTCTGAGAAAACAATATCTAGAGGATGTTTTGATTGCAAGGTAGAAGTAGAAAAAGGTAACTTATGCATCTTATTGATAGAACAAGCATTGCAAGGCTTGTCTAATAAAGCAGTTGAAGAAATTGGTAAATGAAAAACTGAAACAATGTGTTTTAAAATTGAAACAGCAGGATGGCCTAAACGATAATGCCAATCCGAGAGACTAGTTTTGATGGTGGAAGCAAACGCAAGAGAAGGACGCTGGGAAGAACTCGGAATTGGCCACTCATACGTGCCATCTTTAGGCTTGCCTTGCAGTCGAAGAGTCCCTGTTTGCAGGTCTCTCACCTGGTAATAGGTTGGCGTAAAAGTCACAGAAACACCATTAGTTGAACAGAGTTGAAAAACAGAAATAAGATTTTTTGCAAGAGACGGTACACAGAGAACTTTATTAATGAAAAAGGGACGAGTGTAAGTTGGAATAGAGAAAGAACCAGTGTGTGATATCTGGAGACCAGAGCCGTCACCAAGCATCACATCTTCACTGCCATTGTAGGGTGAGTGAAGCGACAAATTTCCAAGGTCAGAGGTCATATGGTGTGAGGCTCCGGAATCAAGCAACCAGGTTGAGGTATCGGAAAGCATTGCTGGGTTTGCTCTAGGCTGCCATGGTTGCGTTGCAGAGTGCCACTGCTGTTGGTATGGAGATGGTTGCCATGACTGGTTTGCTTGAGAGCCACGTATCATCTTAAACTCAGGGCAAAACTTGGCACTGTGACCATGAACACCACATGCTTGGCATCTCCCTTGATATTGACCTCTGCCACCACGATGTTGGTTGGTTTGGTAGTGGCGATTGTTGTTATTGTGAGGACGAGAGCTTTGATTGTTGGTGTGGCGTCCTTGATAATTGTTGTTGTTGGGCCTCCATGATCGTGTATCAGTGGCATTCGCCACAATGGGAGTAGGCTGAGAAGTAGCAGAACACAAGATCATAGCTTCTCTATTAAGTAAGCGTTCATGTAGTTCCGCAAATGAGATTGGCTGATCTCTGCCATTGATCGCATCAATCTCTGGTTTGTACTCTTCACCGAGTCCAGCAAGGATGTACTCCGTTAGATCTTCTGGATCCATAGGTTTCCCTAGGAGGGCGAGATCATCGGCTTTAGCTTTGATGGTGCGTAGATATTCAGGTATAGATTTGGTGCCTTTGGTAGAGTTCTGAATTTGATGCTTCAGTTGGCGAATGTGACCTCTTGTTGGATTCCCAAAGGCAGTGGCAAGGAGGCTCCAGATCTCAGCTGACGTTGTGGCACTGGAAACGATGGATTGAGTCGGAAGTGATATGGCTCCGATCATGGCGCTGAATAAGAGAAGGTCTTGACGGCGCCAGGCAGCGAAGGCAGGATTGGGCGTGGCTTGCCCTTCTACGGTGATCATTGCTGGAGGAGCCTGATCTGTGTCACTAAGGAAGGTATGCAGCTCATGACCTTGGAGTAGAGCCATGACTTGCTTACTCCACATAAGATAGTTCACACTGGTGAGTTTGGTGATACTTGACATGTTCACAGAGAGTAGCGTACTTTCAGGATTTTGAACATTGAAAACAGAGGTTTGTTCAATGGATGCAGGACTTTCAGTGGTCATTATTTTGTAAAGGAATTGGATAGAGAGAAGAAAAGAGGAGAAGCTTAGAAGATGAGCAAGAGAGAAGGAGGCGCAGAGAAAAAAAAAAATTAGGTCAAGGAGTCAGAGCTCTGATACCATGTTGAATAGGGAAGATAATCTTATTGATAGACTAAACATATGCATATATACAAGAACGTATTCAAGACAAAAGGAAATAATATATTGTGCAATTACAGAGGAATTAATATTGTATCAATCAAGGGGATTGAGAGAATATTCTAACACNAGGCGCAGAGAAAAAAAAAAATTAGGTCAAGGAGTCAGAGCTCTGATACCATGTTGAATAGGGAAGATAATCTTATTGATAGACTAAACATATGCATATATACAAGAACGTATTCAAGACAAAAGGAAATAATATATTGTGCAATTACAGAGGAATTAATATTGTATCAATCAAGGGGATTGAGAGAATATTCTAACACGTCTCATGTAATTTCAGCACAGTCAACGGCTTTCCAGCGATAGGTCACGCCAGATCACTCATCAAGGAAGCGATCGGGCTCGTCTCAGCTCAATACCCGTTTTGGAACCGAACCAGTGGCTCTGACCACGTCTTCATCGCCACACACGACTTTGGCTCTTGCTTCCACACCATGGTTAGTTCAAAGCAAACCTATTTTATTATTTTTTTGCCAGTTAAATATCTTTATTTTACATTTTTTAAAGGAGGATAGAGCAATTGCTGATGGGGTACCAATGATCTTGAGAAACTCTATAGTTTTGCAAACTTTTGGTGTTACGTTTAAACATCCATGCCAAGAAGTAGAGAACGTTGTGATACCACCGTACATCTCACCGGAAAGTGTATACAAGACTCAAAAGAATAGTCCGATGACTAAGGAACGTGACATTAGGGTTTTCTTCCGTGGCAAAATGGAGATTCATCCCAAAAATATCAGTGGACGCTTTTACAGCAAGTAAATAAAAAACATACAAAATATTTGTATTTTTTTAAGATTTGTTTTACTGAATAACTTTTTTTTTTTTTACATTAGGCGAATAAGGACGGAGATATGGAGGAGTTACAGCAGTGACCGGAGGTTTTATCTCCAACGACAAAGATTTGCCGGTTACCAGTCAGAAATAGCTCGTTCTGTTTTCTGTTTATGTCCTCTCGGGTGGGCCCCGTGGAGCCCGAGACTTGTTGAGTCGGTTGCACTTGGCTGCGTGCCTGTTATTATCGCCGACGGTATCCGTTTGCCGTTCCCTTCTGCCGTGCGTTGGCCTGATATCTCTCTCACGGTTGCGGAGCGTGACGTTGGGAAACTCGGAGAGATTTTGGAACACGTGGCCGCAACTAATTTGTCCGTCATACAGAAGAACTTGGAGGATCCGTCAGTTAAGCGGGCCCTTATGTTTAATGTTCCGCCGAGAGAGGGAGATGCCACGTGGCAAGTTTTGGAGGCTTTGTCTAAGAAATTGCATAGGTCCGTTAGAAGAAGATCAAATGCTTTTCTGTAAAACTAATTTGTTTTTTGACACGTGTATATTACTGCTTGGGAGTTAGGTGATGATTGTTTGGTGAAGTGGAAGAACTATCAAAGCAGATAACACTTTTCAGTGATAAACATCTGTTAGACTTACCGATTTAGGATGTGTAAATATAAAAGAAAAAAACAAATTTGGTCTCAATATCTCAATTCCACAAGCTCAAACAAATTTGGTCGTTTTATTGCTTTAGAAGTAACAAGGATAGTGGAATGGCTACCTGATTATTATTTCTTTTGGTAATCATGTTAAATGGTTATATTATTTGACAATAGTTATATGGTAAATCCTCGAGAGGTTATTTCTTTGAATCATTTACCACTTGCTCTTCTAAAGTGTCCTTGCGATTGTTAACTTTGTTGAGTTTCTTCTCGAATCCTAAACTTTGTCTACCAAGCTTCACAGACCGCGACTCAAATAATCAGAAACCGTAAAAAGCGTTTTAAACCCAACACGTGCCTGGCCACAACTCTCTCCATACCATACCTAAACCAAAGATCGGTTCCAACCTTTCGAAACTGGAATAGAAATCAAACGTCATTATGAGAAAAATGAGCTTACTTTTTGTGAGCAACTCGGTTATTTGAAGTAATCAGTGTAGTCGCTGGGACAGAGTCAGAATCCGTGGTGGTGCTTCGTCGTGGGGATGACTCGAGAAAAACCGAAGTTTTAGGCAATTTAGACGGTTGGACCCATTCGGTCTCTTGGAAATGGGCCATGGGTCGGGTTGAAAACTGACGGGTAGGCCGTAGGCTTTTCCGGAGCCTCATTCGGAGTTGGTGAAAGTGTTGGGTCAGAAATGGAGGTACATAGCTATCGATCCGAGCTGCCATTGGAGCTGTTGTTGTGAAGATTAGGAAGGGAGGGATAAAATCGGAAGAGGGTGTGGTTTCAGTGAAGTTGAATTGGAGATTCTATTAGTGAGATGATTGAGAAGATGAGAAGAGTGATTTAAGACGTTTGTTTTACAAGATTTTCTCTAGTTCTTTTAATGGAGTCTTGTTGTCTGGTTTTCTTAAGAGAGAGAGAGAGATGGCAACTTAATGCAAAAGCAATGATTATTATTGTTTTGTTATTACTATGAGACTTGATCACCATTTAAATTCTAAATGAATGATGACTTTTTAGTGAACAGAAATACAAAATCTAATTGTTTAGAACTTAATTGTCATGAAAATCCTCAAACATATAGTACGCAATTTATCAAAAAATAATTACTTAAGGGCTGTTCGTTTCTTCATTCAAATGATCCATTCGAATGGAGATGAGCTTTTTGTTCGTTTAGACACAAAAAGTACAATTCATTCAGATGATCCATTTGAATGATTTTTGGAAATTTAGGCTTAATTTTAAAGTTCATTTAGCTGAACGAATTTGGATCATTTGAATGGAGATGGTTCATTCAAAATGGTATAATGTCTATTATACCCCTGTTGTAATTCATAAATTACAAACTGAAACATAAAATTATTCCGTGACACACGAAAACTGGAAAAACCCATAAAATCTCGTTTTCCCTAAAAATCCGAAAATCTCGTTTTTCCGCCAAATCCGAAAAATCTCGTTTTTCCTAAAAACCGAAAAATCTTGTTTTCTCTAAAAACCGAAAAATCTCTTTTTCCCGCCAAATCCAAAAAATCTCGTTTTTCCTAAAAACCGAAAAATCTCGTTTTCCCGCCAAATCCGAAAAAATCTCGTTTTCCCTAAAAACCAAAAAATCTCGTTTTCCCTAAAAACCGAAAAATCTCGTTTTCCCGCCAAATCCGAAAAATCTCGTTTTCCCTAAAAACCGAAAAATCTCGTTTTCCCTAAAAATCCGAAAATCTCGTTTTTCCGCCAAATCCGAAAAATCTCGTTTTTCCTAAAAAACAAAAAATCTCGTTTTCCCTAAAAACCGAAAAATCTCGTTTTCCCGCCAAATCCAAAAAATCTCGTTTTTCCTAAAAACCAAAAAATCTCGTTTTCCCTAAAAACCGAAAAATCTCATTTTCCCGCCAAATCCAAAAAATCTCGTTTTCCCTAAAAACCGAAAAATCTCGTTTTCCCGCCAAATCCGAAAAAATCTCGTTTTCCCGCCAAATCCGAAAAAATCTCGTTTTCACTAAAAAACAGAAAAATCTCGTTTTCTCTAAAAACCGAAAAATCTCGTTTCCCGCCAAAACCGAAAAATCTCGTTTTCCCGCCAAATCCAAAAATCTCGTTTTCTCGCCAAAATCACAAAATCTCGTTTTCCCGCCAAAATCACAAAATCTCGTTTTCCCTAAAAAACCGAAAAATCTCGTTCTCCCGCCAAATCCGAAAAATCTCGTTTTTCCGCCAAAACAACAAAAATGCATTTTTCCGCATTGTTGGAGGTTGATTTAGTTTAAATATATTTTAGACTAAATAATATTAATTAGTATAGCTATAATTAATAGCAAACATATGATTAAATCAAAACAAGGGTATATATGTAATTTGTTTATCAAACTCATTTGAATGGAAATAAAAAAAAAGAAACAAACATGAAATTCATTCAAATAGTTCATTTAGATGACTCATCCAGATGGAAAAACGAACAATCCCTAAAATCTGGATGGATCATTTAGATGGATCACATAGATGGATTAGCTGAATGGAGATTATAAATGGAGAAACGAACAGCCCCTTAGTATTTTTTCTGTCTAAACAAGGAATTAAATTGTGACTAAAGATATAATGTTGGCGTACACTTGGACTTGGTGGTATTAGTAGAAAAAGACAGGGTAATTTGGATGTGTGCTTTTGTGTACCTCGCCAAATCCGTAATCTTATGTTTACTCTCATCCCACTGAATGGTTACACCATATACGGGCAGACGTTGTAAACGTCACCAAGCACACTGATTTCCCTATTAGAAATAAATATCTTTATCTGTCACTTTGGTTTCAATTTGTCAATTTTCTCGTTGAGCATATATGAAATATCATAATGTATTTTTTCCCTTAGTGAAATTTATAAAATGAAACCAAATGATCCCTTATTAATTGGATTTTGTGATTCTGCGTTCTAAAGACCCAACAACACTGTTGACAAAAGAAAAGAAGACACAATAACACATTTAGAACCCAAATGGTTATGATGGTATTCGTTATATCAAATAAATGTCTGTTTAATCACAGAGATGTCTTTTAAAAATAATAATAATCATAGAGATGTCTTTGTATATATAAGATGAGAAGAAAATGAAATAAAAAGGTATGTGTGATTTAAATATTAAATAACACATACAGAGCAAAAAGGACGTCGGATTAAAATGTTTCAGAAATTTCACTAAACCATACCATAATACCACAGTTGTATACAGTGGCGGAGCCAGGAAATATTTTTACTGGGGTCATAATTTTAAGTAATATATTAAATTATTAATATAATAAATTATTTAATTATATAATCTATTAATATAATTTTAAAGTTATTATTATATAAATTATTAAAGATTAGAAGCTGTTTTAATTACATGTTAATATTCAATAAAACATAAAAAGTACAATACTAAAGGATATTTTAAAAAGAGATGTTGTTGTTCATAAAAAAATTTAATCGTTATATAGAGTTTAGAAACGAAAGTAGAAATTATAATAAATAACTGCAAAATAAAATAAGAAAATCAAAAGTTTTTTATGCGACAAGAGAAAGATATTCTCTATAGGAAATATCAGAAAAATGAGAAACATATGAAGTTGAAAAGCAAATAAGACAACAATGGAAAGAAAAAATTAAAGGCAAATCAAAAACTAGTTTTGCCCGTTTGTTCGATTTAAAACCAGGCTTGTAGGCTCAAACCAAAATTATGCAACAAAAAAGGTAATAGGTAAGTTAGTTGGGTGATGTGCACAAAAAAAAAGAAGTTTCATTGGGTGCATTATGGGGTTCGATCCTGGAGAAGGTGGGGTCAAGAGAGAGATTTTAAACCAATTGAGCAAGTGTTTTTAGCATGTCACAGCCTAAACATTTTATCTTTCATATTTTACTGGGGTCAAGTGACCCCTCTCCTTTGCCTGTAGATCCGTCCCTGGTTGTATAAGAGACAAAAAAATGAGAAGAATGTCGGAGGTTATTTTTTTTTTTTATCAACTTTGTTATTATTGAATTATATTGTATAAGGTTGATACAAGAAATTCAAAAATCAAACTGGAGGAATATTAAACACATGATAAATGGACTGATCTGAAATCATAAACGTTGAAATCCGATCTGCTGCTTGGTTTCTCTCTCGATTGACATACTCCAAAGAGCAAAGTGGAAGCAAACTGATCCAATGACGTAAATCATAGACAATGTTTCCTAACTCCTCATGATCATGAACGCCATTAACAATGCGTACCAACTCCTTGTTATCACTTTCAAACCAAACATATCTCAGCCCTCTGACCCACACTTGTTGCAGAGCAATTAGAAGACCCAGAGCTTCACCCTGCAAAACTGACTTTACACCACTTAACTTTGCACCTCCTGAAACCACCATCGAACCGTAGTGATCGCGAATGATCCAACCAAAGCCCGAGAAAGTGATATCCAATTTAAAACTACAATCAACATTACACTTCAACCAACCAAAGGGTGGAGGTTCCCATGCTGAGGATCGTTGAATTTGAACGTGCTTTCTATTCTTAATCACCACATTCATTGCTCATTCTTCATTTGCACGTTTTGCTCTTCTTACATCCTCTATAGGATGGACATTCCTTTTAACCATGAGAAACTCATTCCTAGATTTCCATATATACCAGATGATCCAAAAACCTTGGTAGCCTAAATTTGTATCCTGCTCCAATGACTCCTTTAGCTAAAACAACATTAACAAATTTTCCTCAAGATCATTAGTAAAATTCATAGCCAATGGGGAATCTGAGCATCTCCAAATAGCCGATGCATGAGGACATAGAAACAAAGCATGATTGCTAGTTTCTTCTTCATAACAACAACGCTGACATGTCGGATCTATCTTAACACCTCGCATACAAAGAGCAACAGATGTCGGAATAGCTCCTGAGACTATATTCCAAAGAAACTGACGAATTTTAGGGAGTATTTGAAGTCTCCAAATGCCATTCTTAAGCTCTAAGGATCCAGTAGGAGCTTCAACCATTTCCTCATCATTCAAATCATTGAACCCAGCCCAGTAACCCGACTTGAC